GGAAGTAAAATAAAGGCAAAGGCTCAGCCAGAAATACCAAAATGACCCCAAATTCTAAACACTCTTCACTGCTTCAGCTCTGGTGTGAGCTTCATATACATTATCTCAATTCTCTTGACCTCCCCAAGAAGACACTATCATTACCCCCATTTTCTAGATGAGGAAACAGAGGCACAAAGAGCTTAAGTTGCTAGCCCAGTGGCAGAGCTCACATTTGAACTGGGTGCTGGTTGACTTCTAGGCCTGTGCTTAGAACCATCACCATCTTTTCAGCCTCTTGGCTTTCCTGCCCTCCCACCCCTCAAGAACACCCCTGTCTCTGCCTGGAAGCCTCCCCTGACCCAGGCCTCTCCCTCCCTATCTGTCTCTGAACCTTCCCTCAACATCCTAGTCCAGGTGGAGGTCTGGCTCCCCCAGGCTGTCTTCCCTGCACATCCCTGGCCCCTAGAGGTCTGGCTCCCTCTCCAAGGTCCCCCTGCCCTCCTGATCTGAGCATCTCCACCGGGCCTGCTTGACCACCTCATACTCAACAACTGTCCCTGGTGCACTGGCTAGGCCTGCCCTCCTGGGAAGAGGACCACAGGGGACTGGCCCCTCCACCCAGGCCCTCCAGAGAGCTTTAGCCAGTGCTGACCTCAGGCCTTTAGCAGACTCACAATGACAGTCCCTCTCCACTCTGGTTGCAGAAACTCAGTGCCTAGTGATAAGCACCACCCCACCTCCCTGAGCCCCCAGGCAAGGGTGGGGCAGTGCTTTCCCACCTTCCCTGCAGCTGCATTCTCCTCAGACTCCCTGTAGGGGCTCCGGTCCTCAACCAGCATTTACTGAGCACCTATTATGTGCAAGGCCCTGGAGGTCACAGCATTGAGTGAAACAGATTTAAAACAGACTCAAAACAGACTCATCCCCCACCTGGGGGAGGACAATAAGCAACTGGATAAAGCAGACTGATAAACTGGGTTAAGAGCTGTGAAGAAAGCGATAAAGAAGCTGAATGAAGAAAGGAAGGGCTCTCTGAGGAAGAGAGGATTAGAGAAGCCCCAGGGGCAGATGGAAAGGCAGAGGCAAGGGCTGGGGGCTGGGAAGGGGTAGGGGCTGTGGCTGGGACAGGGACCAGGTCATCCCAGGTGCAGGCCGAGGGGAAGCTTCTGGAAGTCATCTTAAGCACTGCGGAAAGCCATGGGGGTGTTGGCTCACACAGGCTTTCTGGAAAGCTCCCTCCCCTGCTATTTAGGGGGGACTGGAGGTCGGTGAAGGGAGGAGGGGAGGGAAGAAACAGCAGTGGGTCCCAGCACCCCTGCCCTTGGGGAGAACAGCCCTGCAGCCGAGAACTCTTTGCCAGCTCCCCAAGTTCCTTGGGAGATGAGGCCCCGGCTGCTGACAGGGTAGCTGGCTGAGAACGCACCACTTTTGGCTGCCTTGGCCCCCCACCTCACCTCACTCCCTCACTGGTATCTCCTCCCAGATAAGCTGCCTGAGCGCAAATCCTCATTCCCAAATCTCCTTCTGGAGGATTCTGAACAAGACAGCACCTTTTCCTGTCCCTGGCATGTCCCATGGGCCCCCACCTGCCCACCAAGATCCTCGTGGTGCAGGACCCAGCACGGCGCCCAACACCCCTCGGCGGCTTCACCGAGACACGCGGGCTGTGGGCCAGCGTGGGACAACCCGTGTCCTCGGGCTCCCCAGGCAGCTGCCCGCGGCGCTGCAGGTCCCCATGGGCCTCGCAGGTGCCCTTTCCTGATTGGGGTGGGGGCCCGGGCACTCCTGGCTATTAATCTTGAATTCTTTGGCTTGGCAAGCGCAGCCGTCTCTAATCAGGAGCCTGCCTCTGCCTAATTAAATCAGACTTGACCACAGCCCAGCTCCCACTTCCCTGGCCAGAGCAGCTGGCCCCCCTTCCCTGTCCCTCAGCCAGGCTCTGATTCAATTCTCTGTAAGGGCCTCCAGGTGCCTTTCTGTGCACCAGCTCTCAGGATGCTCTGGAAATCAGCTGGGAGAGTTTCTGAGAGCTGGAAGGAACACTGGACTCTGAGTCAAAAAACCTGGTTCAAGTCCAGTTTCTCTGGGTGACCTCAGGCAAGTCACTTCCCGCAATGGGCTGCAGACCCATCAGTGCAGCCTTGGAGCTGGGCTGGAGGATGTCTGGGGAACGCTGGGCTCTGAAGGCTGGGACTGCTGGCAGCCTTCCCCTCCTGCCTCTCCACGGACACAGCCAAGATGGAAGAGGCTGCTTTGACGGCTCAAGAAACTGCAAACTCACTTGCCTGCAAGTTGAGCTGTGAGTGTTCTATGGGCCTTGGGTAGCCAGGCCTCCTCCCGCACACGTTAGCCCCTCAACCATAGCAACAGTAATCACAGGTCCCATTTATTCTGAACAGGTGCCATGCAATGTCTAAACACGAGCTTTATTGAGGAGCAAGACAGGTAAGAGCCAGGCTCTCCTGCCAGACTGTTGGGACCTAGCTATTTCTGCCACTTAGCAGCTTTGCCAGTCACGTGACTACTCTATTTCTTAGTGGCGTAATCTGTAAACTGGGGGAAATAACTGTACCCACCTAATGGATAGATGTAAAAATTAAATGAGCTAAAACATAATTGCTTTCTACTAACCCCCTGGGCTGCCTGGAACTTTCCCTGGTAGAAAGTTGGGCATCTTGTGGCTCAGTCCCCAGATCTGTTGTCTGTGCCCCATGGCCTTCTGAAATGGCTTGGGGGAAAGTAAGCATCGAGGACACGGTGTGCTGATCCGTGGAGCCAAACTGTGTATGTACTTCCTGGGGGTGGGGATGAAGTTCAGAGTGGGCACCCAGTGGGCCACTGGAATCAAATAGGCAGGGAAAATGTCCATTGACAGATGACTGGATAAAGAAGATGTGTTATGCATATACAATGGAATACTACTCAGCCATAAAAAAGAATGAAAGAATGCCATTTGCAGCAACACGGAGGGACCTGGAGATTATTATACTAAGTGAAGTCAAAGAAAGACAGATATCATGTGATATCACTTATATGTGGAATCTGGAATATGATACAAATGAACTTACTTACAAAACAGAAACAGATACACACATATAGAAAACAAACTTATGATTACCAAAGGGGAAAGGGGGAGGGATAAATCAGGAGTTTGGGATTAGCAGATACAAACTACTGTATATAAAATGGATTAACCCAACAAGGTCCTGCTGTATAGCACAGGAAACTATATTCAGTATCTTATAATAAACCATAATGGAAAAGAAAAAAATAGGCAGGGAAGGTACCCACTGAAATGGGTGCCCTCATCCCTCCACCCTGGGCCTCTACTCAACGGCCAGTCCACCTCAGGCCTGCCCCTGGGCTACTGAGCAATTTGTTCAAGGGCCAAAGCAGCTGAGACTATGGGAAGGTCTAGAAACCAGACCAGCACACAAGTGAGGAAGAACTCAGTCCCTGGGAACATGCATTTTCTCTTCCCAGACAGGAGCAGAGGGAAGGGATGCCAGTGGGCTCCTAAAGGAACCCTGGAGTCCGGGAAGGAGTTAAAAACCTCCCTCTGGGATCTTTCTAGGGTGATGAAATTTTCTAAAACTGGATTGTGAATGGTTTCACAACTCTGTAAATTTACTAATAGTCATTGGATTAATTGTACAGTTCAAATGAGTGAAGTTTGTATTATATAAATTATTCCTCCATTAGGCTGTTTGAAAAACAAAATCCCCATTCCTGCCCTGAGCACTGGGGCAGGCCTTGCCCAAAAGGCCTCTAATGGGAGCCTCAGACTGCGTGTCCTGGGTTGGGGGGGGTGATCACATTGATTTAGGATCCCCCATGTGACAGATGGGCTACATGTTAGAGAGGGGGTGGGAGGCTTAAGGGCTTGGTCTGGGGCTGGAGTCACAGCTGCCCCCAAGACCCAAGTCAGGTCTCAGTTTGTCTGGGGAAAGGGAGACCTGCTCTTTTGGGGGCTTCCAGAACCACTGTGCCCATCCTGAAAGTGGAGCTGGAAAGCACCCACCCCTCCTCAGAGGTCTGACCCCACAGCAGGAGGCCCTCCACAGGCTGGACCCTGCAACCTTCTCACCTGGTGAGAAGCCTGGATTCCCCTTCAAGCCTCCAAGTGTGGGAGGTGTCCTCACCGATATCTCCAGCCACTCCCTACCCTGTGAGCACAGCAACCATGGGGTACTGATTCTAACATTCTGCTCTATGGTCAGATGAATGGTCCTGTCTTGCAGTTTGGAGCCAGTCGCCCTGGCCATGGACCCTGTGATTTTCTTCATCACACCTGTGTGGTCAGTGGGGTGCAGACCTGGAGTTGGAAGGGTTTGAATACAGCCTCTGACATTTACTAGCTGAGGGGTGACGCAACCAATCTGAGCCTAAGGTTTCTCATCCTCAAAAAGGAGGCATAAAACCTCAGAGGATTATACTGATGGTTAAACAAGATAGATCATACTCAAAGGTCCAGCACAGCTTCTGGCAGAATCAGCCAAGCCTGCAAGCGCCTGCCAGGATGCTGACTGGTGTAATATCCAATGGGGCCACAAGGTGGAGCCAGACACACATAGAGCCCACGAACTAAGACGCTGGAAGTGACCCAAAGTTACAATGGTGCTTAAACTCCAGTCTAGCTTAGGACCCAATTTACAGGGCCTATGAAGGGGATAGTGGTCCATGATGTCCAGAATACTTGTCTCTTTCACATCTGACTTACGGTGAATGTCTCACAGCCCTCAGTCCCCACTCCAGATGCTGGTTGTTACATGCTTGGACTATTGACAATAGCCTACTGGTCTGGATAGGATCACAGAATATCAGAGCCAGGAGGGACTCTAGAGACCCTCAAATTTTGCACCCTCACCTGAAACTGAAGTGTAGAAGGGGTTAACGACTGTCCAAAATCACCAGCTGGACGTTGGATGCCCCAGGCCCATCTCCTCTGGCGCAGCTCAAGCCAACATTCTCACTCTCCAGGAAGATAGACTTTCTTTTCGTTTAAAGAAAATGGAAACTTCTTGAAACTGCCCCAGTCCTTGCTCCTGTGCCCTGCTACCTCCCACAGCAGCGAGCCAGGACCTGCCAGGTCTCTCCTCAGAACATGAGCTCCCCACAGGCAGGGCTGAGCCGTACCCACTTCTGTGGCCTTGGGCCTCACACCAAGAAAATGATGAAAAACGTTTGAATGAACAAATGCTTGCTGCCTGGATGCCACCAGAGGAAGCCTGGTCTAGGGGCTGAAGACCTGGGTCTTAGGTTCCGCTCTGCCACAACTCCCTGGGGAGGGGCAGCCAGGGGAATGGTTACAATGCAGGGATGGCAATTACAAGACAAAGGAACTAAGACTCCCCTCAAACAGGACATAGCAGCAAAGCAGGCCTCAGGGGCTCTCTGGGGGGGCTCTGGAGCCTCCAAAGGGTGCCATCGTCCAGGGGGCATGGGGGTGGGCACGGGGGGCCCTGGGCACCTGCACACCAGGACCATCCCCCGGGGCTGAGGTTTCAGGGAAACATAAGCCTGAGAAAATATCAAGGACCCTGCCCACACCCCCTCCCTGTATTGGGACATCCTTCCCCACCCTGCCACCTCCTTTCCATCTGGCTTGCAGGAGCTCAAAGTCCTGTGCCAGACCTGAACACGGAGTAACCTCTCTGCCTGGCCATGGCCCTCACAGCTCTTGCTCTGAGCTGGCCGGTCTAGAGCTGGCCTCCCACCTGCTTGCCCACCCAGCATGACAGCCAGGCCCTCAAAAGTCCTCATTCCCTGGAGCCAACACCCCTTTCAAGTGGGCTGAACACAGCTTCCTATGGGCCCTTCCTCCCACCTGCCCACCCAGGTTAAAGGAAGCCATGGCAGGGGGCGGGCAGGAGCACAGAACATCAAGTTCTGTGCTGTTCCAGTCCCCAGCCTCGGGTGGACCCACAGTCCTGAGGTCCAGCTGGCTTTCTCTAACCCATCAGCGTAAAGAGGCTATTTGTGCAGCTGTCAGGGGCAGAGGGGTTGGAAGGAAAGTGTGGCCGACATCTCTGGCCAGATGGGTGTGGTAGGGCCTGCTGGGTGCAGAGAGCTGTCCCGCTGACAAGGGTCTGACCAGGACTCAATAGAGCATGGTGCAGGTGCGTGGGCTGCCCCCTCCAATTTCCAAACTGCCCGTCCCTTGGGGATGGCCAGGAACATGGATGCCTCAGAGTTCCCAGTGGCCAGCAGAGTGCCTGAGGGTGGAGGGGACAGCTTCACCCCCCCAGTTGGCACCAACCCTGGTGAGAACTCCCAGAGCTGAGAGAGGCTCGGGAAATGTCAGCCCAGCTCCTGTCTTCAGCTTGACCCAACTCCATTACCCTAGGATTTTCTGAGTGGCCACTGGGCACCCAGGTCTGGGCTGATGGAGGAAAGTGGGGGAAAGAATAGAAAGTTCCCGTTTACTGAGCATCGGTGACTGCCAGGCACCCCAAAGGTATTTTTTTTCCAAAGGCATTTATACCCATGAGTTCCCTTGAACCTCACAACTATCCCGCCAAGAGGGCACTGTTGGCCCCTTTAACAGAGGGGGAAACCAAGATGGGAACAGGTGAAGCGACTCATTCAAGGCCACAAGCAGAGCTGGGGGTTCTGACTGTTGTCTTCAGAATCAGTTTAACTCAATTCAAAATTCCCACCTAGTGGTAGCCTTGAGCCTTGAGTTCGTTGGCCCGCACGGTCCCTGGCACATAGTAGGTGCTCAGTGAACACCTGCTGGGTGAAGGCCGCAGCAGAGACATGTTCTCAGGGCTCTTCCCAGGACCTTCCATCTGCCTCCCAGGGAAGGGGAAGGGAGAGGAGAAGTGACCTGACTCTCAGCACCTCCTACGTGCTCCACACACAGCACCTCACTTCATTCTCCTCAGTGCCGGGCAAGTAGGTGTGACTTACGGAGAAAGTAAAGCTGCTGTCAGTGGAAGCCTAGATTCTGAGATCCGGAGTCAGGCTCCCAGGCAGGCCTGACCTGGAGTTTGACTGGGATCGAGGCTGTGGGGGCTCCTGGAGGAGCCTCCCCAAACTCTCGGGGCCCTCCTGGATGCCCTGCCACACACACTCCCTGTCTTCCTGCTGGGTCCTGAGGCAGGGCTGGCAAAGTCCCCTTTGTCCTCCTGGACCCTGCTTTCCCCTGGGAAGGGCCACCCTGGCCTCCATTTTCTTCCGAAATATAAATGGGGCAGGAGGCTGGGAGGCCTTGTAAGGAGCGCCTTTTCTGGGGTCTGACCTCACATCACCCCAGCCGCAGAGGAGCTGCCTGTCCTCTGCTGGGGTCCTCCAACCCTGGAAGCCTGGCTCAGTGCCCTCCACCTCAGCTGCTGGGCCACCTTCACAAAGCTCCGGCCCAGACCCAAACCCAGAGCTCCATCCGTATCGGGTAGGACAGCCTCCCTGTCTCGCTGGCCTGCCCGGGCACAGACCTAGCGGGTGGCAGGGGTGTTGAGGGTGGACCCCAGGCCAGATGGAAGCTGGCCCTTTGGGCAAGCTGGGGCAGGGACAGACAGTCCCGCCAAACATTGAGCCATTGTTTTAGGCCACAACAGAGGGTGGCTCTGTGGCCCTGGGGCTGACGAACAAAAACCTGTTCAGCAAGGCCCTGTTCCTCCTGTGCAATTTCAAGAATTTAACCAGGCTGGCTGGCTTCAGTTGGAAGAAATGGGCCGAGGCGACAGGAGCAGGCCTGGAGCTGAGAGGCGCGTCAGAGAGCAGAAGACCCTCAACCTGCTATGTGAGCCCACTATGCACTGCTGCTGTGTGGGTGGCCCTACTGACTGCAGCTCCCAGGCAGTGGGCTGGCACCAGGCACATGAGCGGGATGTGATGAGATGGGGCACACTGACCCAAGCCTGGCCGCTGTTTTCCCCTCTGCAATGGAGGGGGGCGCAAATGCGTGTATGCCCACCTGCCCACGGGCTCAGGCCATGAGCAGAGGGCCAACCATGTCAGGCTGTGGAAGGAGGCGGCACCCCCACAAGTGGCAGACCGGGGGTTGCCCTCCTGCTGTTGCTGCGGTTTCCCCACCGACCCAGGGCTGCCACGATGATGACAGTGAGCCCGGCCTTGGGTAGTGCTGACCTGACCACATGCCAGGTCTGTTCTGGGGTTTTCCACGTGCTAAGGTGCCACCCTCCCAGCAGCCCTGGGGGAGCAGGCACTGTTGTTATTCTCACTCTGTAGATAAGGAAACTGAGGCACAGACGGCAAGGGAACCCAGACCACCTCACTCCAGAGGAGTCGAAAGTGCTATTCACTCTGCAACCTTGGTGGTGGGCAGTGCAATTCTGAATGTTGTTACACAGCACTGACTTGGATTCAGTCAACATTTACCAGGTGCCAGGCCCCCGTGGTGGGGAGAGACCACAAGCGGACAACGTGGTGTGGCCAGTGCCACGCCCAAGGCTGCGGGCTTTGGGGAGGCTTCCTGGAATGTCTGAGGGCTGACTAGGACCAGGTAGGTGGGAAGGGGGACAGGAGCACTCCAGATGGAGGGAAAAGCCGGGCCTGGGCTACACTCCTGTGCAGGCACCTAAGAATGAAGGTGGTGGGCCAGGAGGCTTGAGAGATGGGAAGGCTGGTCTCAGCCCTCGGGCCTCAGAGGGCTGCGCCTCCCCTGTCCCTTCTGCAAGGATTGTGCACAATGCTGGGGGTCTGAGCACAGGGCTTGCAGAGAGCTGTTTGAGAACCTGCAGGTTCACTGTTTCAATTGGATGCAAATTTAAACTTGAATAAAAAGAGGCATTTGCTGGTCATGTGATTGACTGGGCTGAGAGTCCTGCCTTAGCTCCAGTTTCCATCACTGACATCACTGGGGAATCTGAGCTGAGGGACTGGCTGCTTGGGGGCCCCTGGATCTGCGGAAGGTAGGTCAGGTGACACCTGCCTCCCTGGCCCAGTGGCCCAGTGGCCCAGCAATGGGATCTTGAGCACTCAAACACAGCTCAGCACAGTTGAGCTGGCATGTGTGACCCTGGGACATTGTGCCAGGTGGCCCAGTGCACAGCCCAGGGGTCACCCTGGGGGCTGCAGGGGTGCTGAGGTGTGGCTTCCACGAGGCCAGGCTCATTTGGTTGTCAGCGTTAACGCTCAGGACCACCCAGGCCTGGTCCTGCACTGAATTCTGTTGAGTTTCAGGGATGCGTCTTTGTCCCCCTCCTTTAGATCTGGCGACCAGGGATCTTCCCACCACAAGCCACCCACATGGCTTCCCCAGAATCCACACAGGAGAGGCTAGGGCTCATCATCCCCAGCTTCCTGTGCCGGCCACTTGCCAACTGGGTGACCTCAGGGCAGCTACTCAGTTCTCTGTACAGTGACGTCACTGTCTACCACCCATGGGAGGCTAACACAAAGCCTGAATGACACCAGTCACCCATTTGGCAGACTTCCCCCAAGTGCCCGCACTGGGAACATGGTGTGAACAGGATTAGTTCAAGCTCTACTCTCCTGGACTGACAGCAGCGCAGGGAGGGAACTGGTCACCTGGGAGGTGCTGAGAAGTTCTGTGAAGAAAGATGAAGCCAGGAGGGGGACAGCCAGTGCTGGGGGATTTTAAACAGGAAGGTCAGGGATAGCTTCACTGGGCAGCTATTTGAGTAAAGACTACAAGGAGGTGGGGGACCAGGTTGGGGCTCTCTTGGGGAGGGGCCAAGTGTTTCAGGCAGAGGGAAAAGCCACTGCGAAGTCCCCAAGACAGGAACACAGCTGGAAGGTTCGAGAAGCAGCGAGTAGGTTTAAGTGGCTGGAGTAGAGCTGGGCGGGAGGGTCAGGAAGTGCCACCGGGGATGAGGGGAGGGCACAGGGCCTTGACTCTGAGTGACTCAGGAGGCATGGAGGATTTTGAGCAGAGAAGTGACATGAGCTGATGTATATTTTTAAATGATCGCTTCTTCCCTGTGTTGAAAGTGGACCACAGAGGGTGAGGGCAGAAGCAGGGAGACCAGTCAGGCCAGGATCCAGGGGAGAGATGCTAGCTTGGCCCCCTTGGGGTAGCAGCAGGGGAGATGGTGAGACATGGTCAGGGTCTGGGTAGATCCCAAAGCAGCGCCCACAGGATGTGCTGATGAACTGGACGGAGGGGTGTGAAGGAAAGCAGTGAATCTAGAAGAATGCCAAGGTTTGGGGGGCAGGTTATAGCTCAGTGGTAGAGTGCATGCTTAGCATGCACAAGGTCCTGGGTTCAGTCCCCAGTACCTCTCTTAGAAAATAAATAAGCAAACAAACAAACAAATAAATAAATAAACCAAATTATCCCCTTTCCCCCAAAAAATTTTGAAAAAGAACGCCAAGGTTTGGGGCCTGAGCCAGGGGCCCCAGAAGAGCTCAGCACTTCACATACAGCAGAGTAACCTTTGGCCAGTAGTCAGGGGAGGTAAGGGCAGGGCCCCTGGGGTGAAACCTCCATGGTTGCCTGTGCCAGACTCACCAGTGCCAGACTCACCAAAGATGCTTATAAAGTACATCCTTTCTGCGCAAGGCCCATGGTCCAGAGCAACCACTAGCAGCCCAGGGATGGGCCCTGTTCTCCAGCCACAGAAGCCAACGAGTGGCCTGGGATCAAAGCTGAGGAGCCGGGGCCTGATGCCCACCTCCCCCACCAAGGTGGGGCTGCTGCAGGCCTTGTCTTCCCTGCAAGATGGAAAGGGCCACGGTCCCCTGACCCCAGCCTCCCGTGAGCACTCAGAGGTCCTGCAGCAGCACACTTGAAAGGGGCCAGGGTTATCTGCAAAATTCCAATTAAATCCACAGGCTTTGATAATTTGATAAGCCACTCCACCGTCGCCCCAGAGTCAAAATATGCTGTTACTCGATCCTGTGTTTATGTTTCAGGACGGAGAGGGGAAGTGTACGACAGCCTGGGAGGGAGGGCATGCAGGCAGTGGGCTGATAGATGGTCAGCCTGTCAGCCCAGGGTCACCCCTGGGTCTGGGCTCTAAGGCGAGCACACTCTGCATGGAACACGGGTCTCTCCTGGCAGATCCTGGAGGCTGAGAGGGGCCAGGGCCTGGGGACAGGGAGAAGCCCTTCAGAATTGGGTGGCCGCAGCTGACCCCACTTCCCGAGCCTCAGGCCTGTCTTGTGCTGGAGGGGTTCCTGTACTGAGGCCATCTCTTGCCAGATGAGCTGTGAACTGGTCCAGGTGGCCAGTACTACCTCAAGAAAGAGGCAGAGAACCCTCATTGCCATGGTGACTTAGAGGCCAAATGCTTTACGACTCCTCCCTGCAAAAGTCAGGCTGTGATCTGCAGGGGTGGAGCATGCACCCTGAGCCACGCCCCGTTCCGCTCCACAACCTTCCGCGGTCAACACTGCTGTATGGGCGGACAGCAACAGCTGGGTTATCTCAGTACAAGTGTTGTCTCCGTAAGCCCCCTGGACCACTTCAGGAGTCTTGCACACTCCCATTTCAGGGATGGGAACACAGAAAGGCAGAGATCAGAGATCTCTGAAAGGCAAAAGGTCAGAGATCACAGAGCCTTGGGTGGTGGGCCTAGACCCCAGAGTCTGCCCCGCAAGGCCACACCTGCGGCCTCACCAACATACAGCTGTCTCTGCAAGCCTGGTTTCCACATTCCTTGAGGACCTTCCAGGGATGGGCAAAGGCTGACTTGTTACCATTAGTGCACAAGTCAACAGGTGAAAGAGGACCAACTCATTTAGCTGACTGGCAGAGACCGGGTTTAGAGACATGAATTAAAGGCGGGGTCAGGTGATTTTGTGATGACGCCCCGGCTACTTCCCCCTCCAGCAACAATCCCTCTCCCCTCCTCTGGGCACAGGATCACGTGTGACTCCAATGACAACCCGCCTGGGGAGGGGCATCTCCTCTCTCCCCTTGGAAGGAAGAGGCTCTGAGCTCACAAGTGGCAGGGCCAGGCGGACCCGGGGACACTGCTGCCAGGCTCAAGAGCCTTCCTCTGCCCTGGGAGAGTGACGAAGGCTGGAGCAGGAACACAGAAGGGAGGACAGAGAGGTCACACTGAGAGGTGTCAGGACCACAGTTCTGGTCCCCCTGATACCTCCCCAAACCCGGTGCAAGGAGTGGAAAGAGTACAGGCCTCTGGAACCAGAAAAATCTGGGTTCAAGTCCTGGCTGCAGCTGTTAGCCTCTGTTTCCTTTTCTGGAGCTTGAGAATAAGAACATGTAACTCCCGGTGCAAACCTCTCTCACAAGCCTGACACACAGTAGGTACAGTGAGAGTGATGCTTCTCCCACTGGTGAGAACAGACATTTATATCTCAATTTGTTGTTGTTGTTGTCGTTAATGGAAGTACTGGGGATTGAACCCAAGACCTCACGCATGCTAGGCATACACTCTACCACTGAGCTATACCCACCCCTCCTTCGATTTGTTGTTCACAAAGCTCTTTCCCAGCCCGCATGTTACCTAAATTTCACAACTAATCCTTGGAGGTAGCAAGATCAGGGATGAATCACTGTTCCCTTTTTACAGATGAGAAAAGAAAGGCTTGGGGAAGGTATGTGAGTGGTCTGCCTTGAAGCGGTGTGCCCAGTCAGCAGCAGAGTCAGAGTGTGAGCTCAACACTACATCCTCTTCCCTGTGGCTTTCCACTACTCCACACTGTGAACCAAGTCACTGATGAGTTTCTGACTGTTTACAGCATTTGCTTGTTTCTTAAGCCTGTGGCAGCCAGTAAAGGAGATGGCCTTTGTTGTGCCAGGTGAGTCTCTGAGCTGGGTAATGCCTTCCTCTCTCAAAGGGTACAGGCCATTTTAGGCTGTTAGTCTTACAGCATGGATGAAAAGAGAAGAGCTACTTTAGCTGGGACTGCCATGTATGGATGGGCAGGTTGCACACTCTACAACCTCTATGGCAGTGTTCACAGAAAGAGCAATGTGAATGGCGTCCCTGCAGCTGTGCAACACACACCCTTGTCTGTAGGCTTTCTCTCCCCATTACTTGATGGCCCCCTGCGTCTCCCCACCTGTCCCAGACAATTCTTCTGTACTATTATTTCCCTTCCCTCCATAGTACCCATCCCATCTGCCTCTCTCCTGCCCACCCTGGTACTTTTAAGATTTCAGGAGAACAGAGGTATGGAGGGAGGTGATTGATTAGCATCCTCTTCAGTCCTCTCCCCAATGCTTTTCCCAACCGAACCCTGTTCCCTGTCTGCCTTCTTCTGCTCATCAGCTCCTTGGTGGAAACTGGATTTTTCCCTCCATTGAGAAGCTACTCTGGGGAGTGAATGTAAGGGTAGTGTTCTGAGCAAGAGAAGGTGGCCATTAGGATGGAGTTCAGTCGTGTGTGTGAAAAACTGACATGGCTGGGTGGGTCGTCTTGACCATCAGGCCCAGAGTGTCCTGCTTCCAGAGGAAAAAGAAGACCTGCTTGGGCCTCATTTCTCCCCAACATGAGACATCAGCCAGCTCTGGGTCACTAGGAATCAAAGACTTGTGTTCAAGTCTCATGCCTGTCACATACCCAACCAGCTGCATGACTTGGGAAAACACACCTGACCTCATGGGCCTCAGTTTCCTCCTCTGTAAACAGGGCTACTAACATCTATCATAAAATGCTACAAGTAAAAGCCATCTGGTAAGTGCTCATTGCACACTCACTGCTGTCTTTGATGATGATTTGCAGCAGCCCAGGACTGCTGGGTTAGTCAGCGGGTGAGGGTCATGTGGGCAGCACGTGCCCTCCCGGGCCCACATTCCAGTGGGACACTTGGGAGCATCAACAGTTAAGAGCAATGACTGCTAACCCTGGGCATCTGAACGGCATGACCATTATATTTTCTGTTATCTCATCTGCTCCTTACAATAACCTGTGAGCTAGAAAGAATTTACAGGAACACCTGTTCCCCAGATGTGAGGACGCCCTCACCTGGCAGCCCTGGGGGTCAAGGGGAATGAGGAGCAAGCCCTGGCAGCAGGAGTCTGGGGCACCCTGGTCCCCGTCCCCTGGTCCATCTTTGCTCAGCCTTGTTGTTGGCCCTGTCAGCTCTCCCTCTGCTTGTGTCCCCACCTCCCGAGCCTCTCTGGCTGGCCTCCTCACCCAAGCAAACGGGAGAGGCCTGAGGTACCACTTACTCTTTTGGGGGGATTGACATCCTCTGGCCGGGCCTCAAAGAACCGGAAGACTTCATCACACTGTGAAATGTGGGGAGGCAGCCGGACAAGTGCCTGTGGAAAGACAGGAAGAAAGGGCATTAGGCCTGATGAAACTGGGCACAGGAAAAGCAAAAGCAGGGTCAAACAGTGATGGGGAGGCTCAAGGGCAGTGCCAGGGAAGACACAGTCAACTGGCCACCACCCCCTCACCCAGACAACTAATCAGCAGATTAACTCATCAGCTAACTCGTGAAACAACTCTCCATCCAGCCATTCATCCCTCCCTCCCTCCCTCCTCCTTCATATTGCCCAAGAGGAGAGAGAGGGTCAGGGAGGCCACGTGGCCTGCCCACAGTTGGGAAGGACCTTTCTAGAAGGTAAACTTCATTTGGGCAGGGACTTTAGTCTGTTCTGTTGGCTGCTGTGTCCCCAGATCCTGGAAGAGCACCTGGCACTCAGTAGGTATTTGTTCAAATGAATGAACGAATAAGGGTTTGGTGTGCAGGGGCCCACTGTCCAGCAGGAATGGGACATGATGATGGGGCAAAAAAAGCACATGTGGTCTTAGGCTGCATGGACAGAAGTACAGTGTTGAGGAAGAGAGACGTGATTGTTTACTTCTACTCTGAGCTGGTCGGGTAACAATTCCAGTGTGGCATCGAGCCCGATGGCCCCTCCTGGTGCCAAACCCACACCCGGACAAGACGGGACAAGACCTGACTGTAGCAGCTAAGACAACACTGTGCAACTCCCATGTTCCTTCCAGAGCCCATGGCTTTCCAACGTTCTCCAACAGATCACATCCCCATAAACAGGCGGGAAATAGAAAAGAAAGGAAATTAACATTTAATGAGCAACTCCATGTGTCAGGCAGTCCTAGACCCCTGGACTCTCCAATCAGCCAACAAACATTTTCAGTGCCCTGGTGGTATAGGAGGAGCCAGACGCAGCTCCTACCCTCACCAGTGCACAGCAGGTGATGCACCACACATTTCGTCCTGGAGGTACACATCATTGCTTCCATTTGCAATGGGGACACTGAGGCTGTTGGGGAGTGAAGTCACAACTTCCAGTAAGTGACAGAATGAAGCCTTGTGTTCAGATGTCAGATGGGAGGAACGCACCCCCAAAGTGTTCATGTTTTCATCTAACACACGTGGTGTGTGCTGTTTTCTCTCCCAGGAAGGGCAGAAGGAAACAAAAACTGAGGAAGAAGAGAGAGAGAGGCAGAGGGAGGGAGAGAGATAGAGAGACAGAGAAAGAGACAAAGACAGAAAGAGACATAGAGAGAGACAGAGACACAGAGAGAGAGAGAAGCGGAACTCAGGCATGTGCAGAGAGCAAGGGCTCCTGGTGGGAGGAGGAGGGTTTCTGGAGGGAGCACTAAAGGGCCAGGACGGGCAGGAGGCAGGAGGCAGGAGGCAGGAGGGAACCATTACCAGGGACCCAGGCTGTGTGCAGAGCTGCTGCCAGGGTGACCTCCCCGACAGGCAGAGGGAGGGGAGGCAGGGCAGGAGCCCTCCCAGCTCAGCGCGTGGCCACCCACCCCAGGCACAGCCCGGCCGCCGGCTCACCCCGCAGCAGCGCTGAACACAGGGGCTCTTCATGCCGACAGAGACCAGCATTCCGGGAGCAGGGGACGCGTGGGCTGGAAGGGCCTCAGACAAAGAGGCCTTTTGGTGAAACCACTGCGGCATCTTTATTTAACAGGGAGCCCCGAGGGGAGCCGCATTGAGGGCTCGTCCTGATTTCAGGCTGACAAGAGGCTCTCGGCTCAGAGCAGCTTCCATTAGAGCTGCCGCCAAGCCCAGCTCTGGCCAAAATTATTTGGCAGAAGAGCTGGGTGCTGAGAGGTCAGTCCCTGAGGCCTGGGCTGGCGATGACAGCCAGAGCAGGGAACCCCCAAACTTAGCTGTTCTGGGAGGAGCAGGTAGGGGCCAATACCTGGGCACCTTCAGGGGCACCACCTCCCACTCATATCTAAAACTCTGCCATGGGACATTCAGGATGTACGCCATGGGGTGGCTAAGTCTGGGCTTCGGGGGTAGGGAGATGTGAGTTTGAGTCCTAGCTCTACGGGTCACAGGCTATGTGATGCTGAATGCACTGCTTGCCCTCTCTGAGCTCAGTACAACGGATTTCATGTGACACCTCCCTATTAGGAGGTTAAATGAGATCATGAATATGAGGAGCCTAGCACAGTGCCTGGTACTGAGGAAACAGTAAAATTTAGTTATACTGTTGTCTTCGTTGTCATCACCCTTTAGGTGACAACAGAGAGGCACACTAGAAAGAACAGGAGTCAGGAGATCTCAATTCTAGGTCCAGTTCTCCTGTCATATACTTGCTACATGACCTTGGGCAGCTCACCTCACCTCTCTGGTTGTCGTTTCTTCTAGGATAAAACAGACTAGCTTTGGAATCTCAAACTGTATCTCATGGAACACCTTTTTGAGGAGGTAAAGTGAGTTCTATGGGCACATGTGAAAGGTGCCTTGTAGATCCCCGTTTTGGTCTTGGCGAGCACCATGTTCATTAGCACAGCAAAGGCTCTGAGAAGTCCTGCAGGAAAGAAACCTATAGAGCTGTGTTCAGGCCAGTATTTATTAATTACAATGACATCCTGGGTGATGGACTCATTTAATCATCACATTAACTCTAAAACATATGTCTAACTATGATTCCAATTTTACAGAAGAAGAAACTGAAGCACAGAGAGGTTAAATCATTTCTCAAGGTCACACAACTAGTAAGTAGCAAGAGTTTGAATTAGGTTGTCTGAGCCCAGAGCCTATGCTCTGTCTGATCTGCTGCTCTGCACTGTCTGCTGCGTTACCCACAGGTCTCTGTGGAACTGGTTTTCCAAATAATTCCTACTGACAGCCCATGGAACACAGCTGGGCAAATCCAGGCTAGAGACATTTGAAGTTTCTTCTAGCTCTAACAGTCATTGGCTTTAGGACTGTAAACAGCACCATTATCAGTGTCTAATCTATCACAAAGCCCTGTCTTTGCAAGCACAGCAGTGGCATGGAAGGGGGCCCCCCTGTGCTCAGACCCTCTGCTTTGAAATGATCTCCCTCCATTTAGCCCACGGTTCTGGGTGACATCTGTCCCAGGACAAAAAGCAAAGTTCTGCATTTGGAAAAACAACTGTGGGTGCCCTGCTCTTTCCATAGGATCAAACGTTTTCCTATTTTTAGTTGTATCATTTGTGTTTCTAATCAATGGAAACCGTATAGGTAAAAGCCCAGCGATTCTCCGGTGGGGTGGGGTGCAGGGGGGCTGCAGTCCTGCCCATTTGGCCCCCACCCCCACCCCTGGGGCTGCTTCTAACCTGCCTGAACTGTCCCTCCTAGATTAGCATCTACGAAGCTGGGGGCTCATCCAACTTCTGCAGAGCAGAGTATTTCAAACACATGAGTTCTCTTTTTGAAGGATCTGAGCAGCAACTTCTTTTGAAATGGAAATAGTGCCTAACTGGCAATTGCAGTTTAAACCATTTCACAAGGGGTCCTGGTAATTGGGCCCTCAGGGACATGTCACCCTCCTCAGAGGTTTCCTCTGCTTGTGTGTGATCTTTGCATCTTGTCTTCAGATACTGGCTGGACTCCCATGTGGGGCCAGGCTTCCAGCTTGTTAGTGAAGACACAAAGATAACAGATGGGGACTTCAAGGGGCGCTTGGTCTGGAGAAGATGGACACACAGAAATTATCCTTCTACAGAGGGTCAATGTGCAGCGTGGACGCATGCATGGAGTTTTCTGGGGAGCGGAACAGCAGGGGTGGGCAGCTTCTCCTGGGCAGCTGGGAGGCTTCTGGGAGGGGTGCTGGGGGAGCTGAAGGCACCCCCAGGAAAGGGACTAGCACAGGCCAAGGGCAGGAGCCTAAGGGAGTCTGGCCAGCTGGGAATGGCTGCACTTCTGAGGACTGGACTGCAGGGCGTGGAGGAGAGGTGGGAACTGAGGCTGAAGCAGTGCTTGGAACTACCTGACAGAGGGTCCGGCTGAGCCACTCAGAGCCTCTTGTGAGCAATGGGGCTCCTCTAAAGGCCTTTAAGGAGAAAGTCGACACAGTCAACTTTATCCCAGGCTGGGAATGCTTCTTCGTAGGTCTGTCTGGACTGGAGGTGATGAAGAGATTCTGCCCCCTGGGTTCCCACCGGGTACTAGACCACTCAGGAGGCCTGGGTGCATTAGTCTGGGTGCATGCGGCTCTCTGCCTCAGTCTCCCCCTTCAGCAGCACTCTTGGCCCAGGCCTGCCTCAGAATGAGTGGCACAAGAACAGTTACTCTCTCTGTATCTAGGACTAAGCATGCCAGGAAGGAGGCTGTTCCTGTTGCAACATGAACCTTTCTCTTTACTAAGGTGAGAGACAAGGGCCATGGTAGAAAACTCCTATGGTGGGAGGGAGAATACCTGGGGCCAAGAACTCCCACCAAGTAATAGCCCCAGTTTTCAAATCTGGGAAGTGGGGCTACAAGTGAGTAAGACTGGGAGATGCAGAGGGTTGGGAGGGGAGATCCTTACCCCTCCAGGGCTGACCCCTTTACTGGGCTTGGAGTCCCTCTCCCAGCCTAACTACAGCCAGCCCCTCATCCTTCCACAAAGCAAGTCTTTGATCCTGAAAGCAAGTCTGTCGTGGGCAGCAGATAACAGAAGCAAGCTTGGCTTTTTGGGTAGCAAAAAAATCCTAGTCGCACCCAACAGGAAATGGAGACTTGTATAAATGTCATTGCAGAGGGTGAGCTGATCATTCTCAAACACTCTCTCTCACTGACCCCTCAACCCCGCAATATTTATTTTATCCCCAAGACAAACACTGCAAACATGTATTTCACATGCAGGAATGGAATGGATGGAGTCACGTATGGGGTAGATTGTTTGTCTGAGCCCCTAAAGTGTAGCTCACACTTATTAGTGAGATGAAAGTATTCAAATTGTTGAGGCCACAGAACCATTAAATACTAACCACATAACCATGTTGCCCATTAAATTAATTTACGGAGTTACAGAAATGCCTTTGGAACCCCTCTTGATAGACACCGGCCCTCAAGAGCCACATAAAACAATCACCCGGCTGGTGCTTGGTAAATTTTCCGTGACGCTCATCCAATCTGCTCCATATATGTTTAAAATTAACACTGAGATCTGGGCTGTGAAACTGCCATTAGGCAGAGGGACTGGCTGGCCAGCGAGGACAGGGAGCCCGAAGTCTGGGGAGGTCTGCTGCATGGTCAGACTTTCCACGTCGGAGTCCTGGCAGAGGACCTGGCTACTCTGTACAAAGCCAGCTTCACAGTTTTGGGTGCATTTGAATTCCCAGCAAATCCCAGATTCAGAGCCCACACTGTCCAGCAGATCCAAGGAAGATTCCAGCCAGCCAAGCAGAGCTGCACTGGCAGGGTGCTGGAAATAAAACTCTAGAGGTTCTAAGTGGTGTGTCCAAGGACAGGTAGAGACAAGGGAGGGCTGGCCACGGGCAGGCTGTACATGGCCCTGACTGTGAAGTTGGCTGTTGGGGGCATTGATGCTGAGTGAAAGGCTGGATCTTAAGTTGCACAAACTGGACTTTTGGGTGGCAGAGCTGAGAAGTGCAACGCTGGGGGGCAGTGACTATGGGCTGCAGCTGGACTCATCCCTAATGACCATTCCAAGGTCATTCCAAGGTCTCAGACAATCAGATCACAGATCCCAGTTTTCTAGTTCAGCAGAATGAAAGGTCACTTCTGCACCGCCCCTTTCCCCTCTGCCATTCACAGAGTAAATTACGGCCTGCAAGCTGCCTGGCTGCTTGGTGAACCCATGACAGTGCTCCTTGTTGCCTGGCTCTGAGTAGTTCTCATCTGCGCTAATCAGGTTAGGAGGCCCCTCCTCTTATCGACCCCTTGCACTTAAACGGCTCCCCAGACACCAGCAGCACTCATGCAGCCCCAGAGGCTGTCCAGAATCCCATCCCAATTCAGGAGTCCTGTTCAAAGCCTGAGCTCAGGAGATAAGATGTTATCGGGTTCCTGCTCCCAATGACCTAGGAGATGGCATTTCCACAGAGCCCGACTGCAGATGCCTCGGGCTCCCCCAGCTCAGGGAGGCTGAGGCTGACGTGAGCCACAGACCCCAGCTGAAAGAGGCCTCCTCCTGCCCTTTGCCCCTCCTCCATTAGCTGTGCCCATTTGTTTAACTGCTTGGGAACGGAAGAGAGAAATAAAATCTCAGACTACAGCCATCAATTTAACTGGAAATGGCAAATGCCCTTTAAAGAGAAAAATGAATATTGATCTGAAGAAGAGAAATTTCTAGCTTAAAGAAATTCACCACAGGGGCATCCTTCTAAGTTAAGGCAAAAAATGTGACCAAGTATATAACCTGTACACAGTTACAAAATTTAAACATGGGTTAATGGAGAGTATGTGGGAGCACTTGTCTCCCCAAAGTCTTGGGAACACCGGTTAGTGAATTAGCAAATTTGTTCTTGTTTAAACATTTTGTTGACAAGAATAATGATTCCAAATTATAAAATATTTGTGAGGGACCTTATGGTAGCAATTCCAAGTTGGGACAGAATATTTCAGAAGTTACAACACTGTATATATACATACTCTTCTGCTCAACCCTTCATGAACCCCGTGAGATAGTTGTTTTTACCTCCATTTTACAGATCGGGAAACTGGAGCTCAGAGAGGTAAAGCAAACTTGCCAAGGTCACACAGCTAGTAGGTGGGGCACTGGGATTTGACCCCAGCTCTTCTCACTCTAAGCCAGCACTTGCAACGAAATATTATTCCCCATTTGCTTCTCCCCAAGATTCTTGAGTCAGACTCCACGGTAGATTTCATTTAACTGAAAAATTCCATCTCCATTAAAGCCAGTGGTGCCCAGTGGTAACATTAAATTGTTTATGCTTTGTAATAATAATAACAAAAAACTCATGTCCACTGAATGAGTCCTCTGTGCCGGACACTATGTGCTGCTGCCTCATGCATGTCAGTTCATTACACCCTCTGCAAAGGCACTGCTCTCCTGCCTCTTATACAGATGTGGAAACTGAGGCGCTGGGAAGTTCAGTAACTTGCCCAAGTTCACGAAGCCAGTCAGGGGTTTTAACCCAGGTGGTCTGGCCATCTGGAGGCCATGTGCCAAGGCCACTGAAGTGGGAGTCTCTTCTCACTGCAGGGATCCCGGGCTCTAGACAAGGTACAAAGACAAACGGGCTCTCCTTCATGGCCTTTTTGTCACTGTCCGCCTGCTCTTTGGCATGGCTGTTCTAAAGCACATGCTGTGTGTGTGTTTGGGGGGCATGTGTGAGCATCTGCATTTATAACAATGTGTACATGAATGTCTGTAGCTAAGAAGACTTCAGCAAATAAACTTTGGCATTTTGGATGCTGCTGGACTCAGGACCAATTTCAAAAATGTTCCAAAGGGAATTCAAAGAAAGTTTTCCCGTATCCAGCAAAATGCCACACACAGAATCCCTGAATTGAGACGCCCCTGAATTGAGCTCCCAAGCCAGTGGAAGTGATTTCAAAGACTGTTTTGTAAACACAGACGTGTCCTGAAAGGAGCAGAGGTTCCGCTGTGAGCCCAAGGCCCTCATGCCCCAGAGGTGGCCTAGTCATGGGGTGACCTTCTCCCCAAGGGACACCCACACCCACCTCTCTGGCCAGGAAACGCCAGGCCTCAGGATGCATCTGCTAAACCACAGCAGTTTTTGTACAGACCACCTTCTTTCACAGATGGACAGATTCTCCGGCAGATGGACTGCCCCTCCCTACTCCAGACACACTCTTACCCGGCAGTACTCATCAATGGGCTTCAGCCTCTTCACAGCTACGTCCCGGATGTGGCTTCTCCGGAAGAGGATTTTGCCTGGAAGAGAGATGCTCATGAACTGGGTGATGCTGCCACAGGGACCTGAGACCCTAGCCTTTCATTCCCCTCTCCCTCAGCATCTCAGCATTGTAGCTGGCTGACAAGTGCCATCACCTCTGCCAGTTGCCAAGGAAACAAGAGAGGAGTGGTCACCTCTCCCAGAGGGCAGGAGGTGCCGAAGGCTCTTGGGCAGATGAGGAGCCTGGGAGGCTGCCATCTTGGCCAAATCACCTTGTCTGGGTCTAATGGCAGGACCAGTGCCCCGACATGGGTGTGGCTCTCAAGTGACCTCCCAAATAAATACAAAGGATGGCCCAACCCACATGCTGTGTTTTGCTTTCAGGCCCATCCCTCCTTGAGAAATCGGCATTTGTTCCTGCCAGCCAGACAGGAATTCCTATTCTTAGTTTAGGTGGGTGGCTATTTCCACTGCAGGCACAGACTAATACAAGGGAGTCTGGCTGCCCCAGCCTGACTGTTCTCCAGCCTTTCTGTACACACAGCCTCCAGCCGTGCGGTCCCCTGCATCTGGGCAGGTGTACCCACCTCTATAGGTCTGGGCAAGGCCCCTAAACCTTCCCAGAAGGCTCTTCTGAATTAGCCAAATTCAACTATAACAAAGAGATCAACATGTAGTCCTTTTACAGTGGGTTAAATTTAGAACGTGAACTCCCTGGTCTGACGTTCAAGGCCTAACACAGCTTCTGCGCCCAGTAGCCGTCAGTGTCTAGACCAGCACCTCCCTTTTAGAAGGCCTTCCCTGATGGCTGAGCTGGGAGTACTCGCCTGCTCTCCACATCTGCACATTTTGTCCATTCCTAAGACGCTCACCACATTCTGCTGTGTGTTACAGGTACAAGTATCTGTGAGCCCCCTTCCACAGGGGCCTGGCTCATCTTAGGGCCCCCAAAGCCCACCCAGCACGTGATGAGGTGCTCCCCTCATCGCTATAACAGGCATTTATTGTCCACGTCCACCCAGCTCCCCTCTGGAGAGAACCCCTCCATTCCTAGTCCTTGTGGTTCCACTGGCACTGACCACACCCCTGGCAGCAATGGTAGGCATGTGACCCAGCCTAGCCAACTAGAGCCACAGTGACCGGCTCAGAGATGGGCAGGGGGCCCAGTCTGGGCCAATGAGGGTCAGCCCCGAGACTTCTGCTGGCACTATCTTCCTGCCACAGGTTCTCCCACAGTTGCTAAGCTGGAGGATGAAAGCCTGGTGCGTCTAGAGGCCATTCTTTATTACCGCCTGAGAAGGAAACCGACCAAGACGAAGGATCTGAGGGTAGGTGCTCAATAAACGTTTCCTGAATGACTGAAAAGCAGAGCCGAGAGATGGTGATGGGGATATTCCTTTGACATCATTTGAGCAGCTGAATATAGCTGTTCCTGAACCCAGAACTCACCTGAAACTTTCCAATTGTATAAGATAATCCAATTAAAAAAATTTAAATTAGTGGGAGATGGATTTTCATCACTTGCATTAATGGAGTCCAAATGAGATGATTCCCATCGCAAGTGGACAAATATGTAGATTGCATGTAAATCCACTTAAGCTTCTTCTATCCAGGTCCAAGTGAAGTACTAAGCATTGCTTTGGTTTAGGCTTTTTCCCCAGAAGTAAATCCAGAGACAAGGAGGTGAGTGCAAGTCGATTATTTGGGAAGTATCCCTGGAATTACCAGTAGGGGAGGGGGGCATTAAGGCAGGGCAGGAGGAAAGTACCATCCAGCCCCCCCATCACTGCTGGGGAGCAGCAGCTCAGTTCTGTTGGGGAACTCCGGGGGATGGTGCAGAACGGACCTCAGAGGCATCCCGACCTGAGGCAGGGCAAGGTGGCTGGGGTATCTATCACCAGCTTCCTGCTTGTCCTTGAGCTTCTGAGAGCACCGCTTCTCTGGCACTTCTGGCCAGGCGTGCTCCTGCAGCTAGGACAAGAACCCCAGCAGCTGCTGGCAGGTGGAGGTGAATGGGAAGGCGACCTGGGGGGGCCCAGAAGCAGCTGCTACAGGTGTCTCTGACTTCCTTGTCACCACAGGTGGTGGTCACCAGCCCTGCTCCAGCCAGACCATGGAACATCTAACTCATCAAGTCATCGAGTCGTGTGTGACTGTTACCCATTCGCGTGTTTCTTCCCTCCACATTCGGTGTGAACCGGCAGCCCCCTTCCGCAGCTGCTTCCCCCGCTTGGAGCCGCACGCCACACTCAGTACAAGACTTTGCATACAGCAGCCGCCCCAGAGGCACTTGCTGTTCCATGCACTTTCCTTCCCCACAGATGCTCCCTCAAGCTCTGCTTCCTGCCTTTCTCACGGAAGCCCAGAAGAGTGGCCGTGTCCCCAACAGAGGGACGATGCTGTACAAACTGGACAGTGTCATCAAGATAAATGGGCCCCTTGGCGTGTTCCTTTTGAAAGGAGATAAAAAGGTGATTCATCAAGACATGGGAGATGGCCACCTTTCCTTGGGAGAAGATGCACGGATTTGGTATTCCTGGCCTCTTCGCCTCCTACTCTTTTTTGGTTGCCTGTCACTTTATTGCCTGCATGCCACAGGTGAACATGTGTGCAGCCAAGGTGGTGGCATGTGAAATAAACACGTGGCCAGGGGAGACCGCTCCCGGATGGACGAAACGACACACAGCCCTGGGGAGGGTTTTGGGCCTTCTACCTGAGCCGGTTGGCTGTCAGGCACTGGAGGTGGCCCAGGCCTGGTGATGCCAGAGGCGGAGCGGTATCTTGCACGACCCTGGAGGACTTGCTAAGGAGAGGCCACATGAGGGACTGGGACCCCCAGATCTGGCTCTGCCCTGTGCTTCTTTCAAAGGGAGAAAACGCGACTTAGCCTCCAAAAAATAGCTCTCCTGCCCTTTCTCATCCTATCTGAGGACAAAAAAGAAAGGAGAGAGATGCAGAGACAAACTAGGTCCCCTTCCCAGGCCCCCATCACAAGGCTGGCCAAACCTCTGGCTGGGCTAGGTATCTGTGAGATATTCAGATACAGATACAGACATAGGTACAGATGTAAGATCGGACAGGACCTGATTCAGTAGCAGAGACAGATCTAGCAAAACACACACAGTTAAGGAACAGTTAAGGCCTCCAGCGGTACAGAAGGTTCGGAGAAGGGAGAACTGGGGTGGGGGAGATGGGGAGGGAGGTGAGCGGGCTCCTCACCCACACTGGCACGGGACCCCCACAGCGACCCTCAAGCCCACCCTCTGCAAGTGAGACCACCGTGCCTCTGCGCCAGACACCTCCCATGCCCTCCACTGTTGTCAGGTGCAAAGGCGGAGGAGAATTTCTGTACAAGCCATTTCCCAGTTGATTTTTTGGAATCCCAACAGGGCTTCTCTCCTTGCCGCTGAAATCCTGACAGGAGCAATGTCTTCCTTCCTTGGGGCCCTGGCACAGGCAGCGGGGGCGGGGGAGGCGGGGCAGAGGGAGGGAAGATCTGGAAGGGATTCCACGGTCTGGACTTCTCTGTTAGGAATCCAAACCGCACTCTGAAAGCCAAACCGGTGACCATATTCAAAGGGAGAGAGAGAGGAAAAGGAGGAGGAGGAACATCCCCATTAAGGAAGCGGGGACCACAGGGCATTAAAGACCTCTTGTAAATGTAATTCAGCCCACTTACGGCGAGGCCAGGCGAGGCTCCTGCCAGCGCCTTCAAAGCCGTGCCGACGCCGCCCCAGAAATACGATAAGTATCATAAGAAAGATTACACGCGGGGCATGAGACAGACCTTGGGACTTAACTCCTTCCTGAGAGTGGGGGAGAGAGCCACTGAGCCCGACGGGGTCCGAGCATGTAAGTGGGGGCCCCTCTTCCTGCCGCCCTGGGCTGGGCTGAGAGGGTAGGACCAGCAGAAGGAGCAGGGGCCTCGGCTGGAGTCCTGCGTTCAAGTCCTGCCTGGGCCACGGGCCGGCAGTGTGACCCTCCACGGGGGCCCTCTGCACGCTCATCTGGAGATGAGAAGGCCAGGCCTCCATGGCCGCTCCCTCCAGAGTCCTAAGATGTACGTGGTGGGTGGGGTTATCAAGAGGAGCAGAGAGGGAGTGAGGCCAGGCGTAACAGGCGCTAAGTGCTTCCTCCCTGCCAGGCGTAGGCCAAGAGCATTCCGTTGGGGTTTCTTGCTTAATCCTCACCACGACCTTAAAGCAAGTGCTTTTATCATCCCCACTTTGCCCAGGGGGAGACGGTGGCTCAGAGAGGTTGAAGGACTTGTCCAAAGTCACACAGCTATTAAGTAGCTGAGTTGGGATTTCAACCTGGGGTTCTGGGGACACTGAAGGGGAAAGAGAAGCCAACAAATCTCCAGAGAGCTCGTTGGGTTCAGATCATGTGAGGCCTTGAGAGTCTTGGTCCGGATTTTATTCTGTGTGTGATGGGAGCATGATTAACGTCTCCTCCATGCCAGGTGCTGCACTGAGGTCTGGGGACGCCTTGGGGGCTGAATGAGAACTAAGCAAGCAGTAATTGTGGAGGATGGGACATCCCATGGTGCGTGAGGTACAAGCAGCCCTCTCGAGGTCTCTGCAGATCAGATACAAGTGGATGAGTGAGTGAGTGAATGGATGAGAGTGAATAGGTGAATGAGAGTGAAAGGATGGATGGAACAACAAATTAGGGAAGGAGAGGTGACCTAGTGTCTCGTGGACCTGGGGAGAAAGAGCTCCCCAAAACAGCACACCTCCCTGTCCTTTAAATGGCCCTTCCTGCCAGCTACCCCCACCCAGGCTGAGCAGGTGCCAGCACAGGGGACGCAGGGGATGCTCACCCTCACAAGTGGGTGGGCATCACCTGGGGGAGGCCGATCTCTGCCCTAGCCCCCAATTTGGTCTGACCTTCTCACTATGAGTGTCCGCTCTGGGCCAGGACACACAGGCAGGGCACTGCCTCAAGAAGGTCCCTATGCTTGGGTGGCAGGGGTGTTTCTCCCTCCCGCCCAGGATGCCAGGCCCTCAATAAAGCTTCTGTGTGGCATCTGATGGGT